GTGCGCAGCTTCACGTCCGACTCGATGGAGTAGAAGTTACTCAGCTGCTCGATGCTGTTCTCGTGAATGTCCAGCCACTGGAGGGCCATGGGGATCATGGCGTAGTCGAAGTGGACGATCCGATTCGCCGATATGTTCAGCATCAGCAGGTCGCGCAGGCCGGGGAAGAGGCCGTTCACGTCGGCGAGGGTGTTCGAGTCGAGGCGGAGGGCGTGCAGGTCGATGATGTCCTCGAAGGTGCCGCTCTCCACGTGGGCGATGCGGTTGCGGGCGAGGTTGAGGACGCGCAGCGAGGGCAGGTCGATGAAGTCCCCTCTGCTCAGATTGCCAATCTGATTGCCCTCCACGTTGAGGCTGTACAGCTGCTCCAGACCGAGGTAGGAGGCGTTGCCAATCTCGCGGATGTGATTGAAGGAGAGGTCCAGCGAGCGGAGCATTTTGAGGGTGGAGAGCGCCGCCGGCACTACCTCCAGCCGATTCTGCCCGAGGTTAAGCTCCATCAGACTGCTGATGTTGGCGAAGGAGGCGGCGTGGATGTGCAGCAGGCGGTTCTGGTCGAGGGCCAGTGCGTTGAGCACCTCCAGGCCGGCGAAGGAGGCGGCGTCGAGGGTGGTGAGGCGATTGCCGCTCAGCGAGAGCGTGTGCAGATTTCGATTGGCGCTGAAGGCATTCTCCGCCAGTGACTCAATCTCATTGTGCTGCAGGCTGAGCGACTGGAGGGTGTACAGCGCCCGGAAGGCGTTGGCGTCGATGCGCGTCAGCTTGTTGTAGGAGAGATCCAGGGAGAGGAGGCGGCTCATGTCGGCGAAGGTGGTCGGGCCGATCCAGTGAGAGGTGACCTCGTTGTGGCTCAGATCCAGCACGGTGACCTGCGCCAGGCCGGAGAAGAGGCCCGGCGGAATGACGGAGATGGAGTTGTTCTGCAGGTACAGCTCCGCTAGGGTCGTCTTCACCGCCTGGAAGAAGCGGGCCGGCAGGGCGACCAGCTGGTTGTTGGACAGGTCCAGGCGAGCGAGCTCGCCGAGGCCGGCCAGGGAGGTCTCCTCGGCGCGGACGATCAGGTTGTGGCGCAGGTTGAGGATGGCCAGGCGGTGCAGGCGGCCGAAGCCTCGGTCGGTGAGCACCTTGATGCGATTCGCCGAGGCATCGAGGTGGCTGATCGAGTCCAGCCGGCGGCACTCGGCCACTGATGAGCTGCTCGCTGATGATGATGAGGAGCTGCTAGGACTTCCGGGCACACCAGGAACACCTCCTCCGCCCACCGTCGCCTGTTCGAAGGCCTTGGCGCTGAAGCCAAAGGAGGCGACGTCGCCGATGACATTGGCGGAGACGTTGAGAAATTGCAACCGCCCGAGGGGGCAGAAGAGGGCCGTCGGCAGCACCGCCAGGCCGTTCTCACTGAGGTCGAGCTGCTCCAGGCGTCGCACGGGGAGGAAGACGGCCGGCGCCACCTTCAGACTCTGGTCGCCCCAGTCGGTGTTGTGCGTCCTCACGGTCAGCTTGCGGAGCTCGCCCAGGCCGGCCAGCACGTCGGCGGTCAGCTCGCTCAGCTTGCACCGCTCAATGTGCAGCTCCTTTAGCTGATGGAGCCGTTCCAGTGAGCGGGCGGGCAGCGTCGACTCGAAGAGGACGTCCTCGCAGGTGAGCGCCAGGCCGGCGGTCCGCTCCGGCGGAATCAGACTGAGGTTGACGCCCGAGTCGAGGGCGCCATTTAGCGTGCGCAGCTTGCAGGCGAGCAGCAGCTCGGAGGAGGAGGAGGCGGCGGCGGAAGTGCTCGATTGATCCACCGTGGAAGAATGGTGATCACCACTTCCGCCACCGAAGCCTCCACCACCCTGTCCACCCCCGGCGACCATGTTGCCGAAGAGGTGTGAGGAGGCGGCCATTGACCGCCACTCGCAGCCGGCCGGCGCCATCTGGTACTGACTGGCGGTGAGTGGCAGTGACAGTAGGGAGTGGTGTTGACTGTGTAAGGTGGAGGAATGAGATGAGGAGGAGGAGGAGGATGACTGGGCCAGGCACAGCAGGAGCGCCGGCGAGAGGATCACATGCAGAAGGAGCAACGTCAGCAGGCCGAAGAGGGAGTGCTGCTGTGAGAAGGAGAGGGGGCGTCGTCGTCGTCGTCGTTGGTGGACTCTGTTGAAGTAGTCCACCACTGTTGAAGTTGATACTGATGATGATGATGATAGTGGTGACGGTGTTGATGGTGACGAGCCGAGAATCACAGAGGGTGAAATTGCAGAGGAGGAGGAAGAAAAGCTGCTCTTCCTGCTGATGTTGTGGCAGCTCATGGCCATGGTTTGCACGTCAGAGTGGCCGCCAATGGCGGAACACCTCGCCGGCAGGCAGCAAGAGCTCTGGTGGTCAGTGTGAGCTCGAGAAGCCATACTGGAGACTAGGCAGGTGTAGGGCGCCTGCTGCGCCGACGTACTGAAGACGTTCAACAGCTGAAGATCATCAGCTAAATAGTTGGGATGGTGGTGGTGATCATGATAGATTTGACGGTAGTTGTGATAGTAGGTGGGGTGGGGGTCGTAGACACTGCCCGTCACAGTGGGTGACGGGGGTGAATGGTGTGGAGTAGAAGAAGAAGAAGAAGAAGGTACCAAGGTGTGTGCCTTCCTCTCCTTCATTTTGGCAAAAGTTGTCATCACACTGAGGGAGCAGAAGAAAGTGCTGTCCTCACGCACTTTTGGTTGATGGTTGGGTTAACAGGTTGCCCAGTGCTGAGGGCAGGGGTGGCAACGACGGTCAATGTACTTCCGCGTCGCCATTAGNTGCCCGTCACAGTGGGTGACGGGGGTGAATGGTGTGGAGTAGAAGAAGAAGAAGAAGAAGGTACCAAGGTGTGTGCCTTCCTCTCCTTCATTTTGGCAAAAGTTGTCATCACACTGAGGGAGCAGAAGAAAGTGCTGTCCTCACGCACTTTTGGTTGATGGTTGGGTTAACAGGTTGCCCAGTGCTGAGGGCAGGGGTGGCAACGACGGTCAATGTACTTCCGCGTCGCCATTAGCGAGATCGGTGTTTACACTTTTTTTGTTCTACTTCCTTCCGTGATGAGCAGCAGCAGCAGCAGCAACAGATCGGCAAGTGAGTGGTGAATCAATTTCGACTGCTCTGGTTGTTCTTTCAGACTGTGTTTGTGTGTGTTGCGTGTGTTTGGACTGCTTTCCAGTGAGCAGCAGTGTCAGCTTTGTATTGCGTTTGGCTTGGCGCTAATAATAAAAGCAGCAGCGGCGGCAACGGCAACCACAAATGAAAACAGCCAACGGCAGTGAACAATGGGTACGCGCATCAACGACTGTGAATGTGAGTGTGAGCAAGTGGAGTCTCTCTGCCAAATGATGCGACAGTCTGTTCGACCAGTCTGTGCTGCACTGACAATTAGGCAACTGCACACTGTGTGTGTGTACTCAGCAAGCGTCGGGGGTGAACTTTCTATCGATGCCAGCGATAATGGCAAGAAGTCTCCTTTTCAAGACACTGTACGGCAGTTCAATCTCTACTTTTTTTTGTTGTTGGCAGAGACGTCAAGGTTCAAGTGGTCGAGCTGCTGAGCAAGCAGAGAGAGAGAGAGCGGAGTTGAAGGGAACGTTTTTGGCTAGTGCCGAGCACACTGCTGAGCAAATAAACGATGATGATTACACACAGGCCAAACTCTGAGCAAAGAGAATGATGATGTCTGTTTGTCTGCTCTGGTAAAATTGTGTGCAGTTTTGAGAAGAGAGAGAGAGAGATGCTAAGGCAAGTGAGGGTTGCAAGAGCTAAATAATGGCTGTTGTAGTTGTTGAGGTGATGATGCTGGTGGTGGTGGTG